AGATTTTTTTATTTACTGTGAATTTAATTTATTAGCCCAAAGGAGCGGTAGAAAAAGAGAAAAGTTTCGAAAAAGTTTCGAAACGGCATTTTGCTCTGTTTCATTATAAACGTCCGTTTCACTTTGCAAATTGTTGCCACCAAATATTATCGCCTTGTATTATATTTAAAGAAATTTAATAATAAATAATCTGCATGAATACATGTATGTTTCTCGCATTGTGAAACGACGATATCTGAATAGTCATCAAATTCTGAACAACGTAATCCTTCACCCGAACAGCCGAATTTCGAATTTGTTTTAATCCATTTCATATTTTGTAAAACTTTTATGAATTTTTGATTAAGAAACTCAACGAGTTTAAAGCGAGCAATGGCAACATTGTACGGGAAATAACATTTTTATCTCCAGAGCGGAATGTAATACTGCTGTTGAATTGAATTTTGCGGGGTTTACGTGCGAAGAACATAATATTCAATAAATAGAGGTAACACATAAAGCGTTAAAAAGTCGCTTTGAGTGTAACATAAAATCTGAGGGCGTCCAGATTTTATTTATTTATTTAGTTTCATTATACAGAGAAAAGTTTATGCTCCAAATTTTATGAATTATTAAAATAAACAATCATCATATGATGTTAATAATTAATAATCATATGATCAAATAAATGATCGTCTCGTAATGTTATAATAATTTTATAAACCACTTCCTGAAAATGCTCATAAAATTTAAAAGTATGTAAGGATTATGTTAATTTTATTAACAGTTAAATTTTAAGTTAAAGTTCCTTTCCTGTCAAATTCTTAACTTCAACTTACTACTTCCGGCCAGAACGTAGTTTTGGAATTTGCTGAATATTTAATGAGAAGGAGTGGTATTTAAACCACGAAGTTACTTACTGAGACAGAATCAGAGTTTCTGAACTACGCGCGTCTGCCTTTTTGGCCGCTCTCTCTCTCAAAGCTGTTTTTACGCTCGGCCGTACTCAGGCCCTTGCTCAGCTTCGTAGTAAAATAAGTTAAGGGGCCAACTCTCATTGAACCTTGATAGCTTTGGCTATACTTATTTAGTTAATCTTAGTTTTAGTTTAATTCTTAGTCTTTTAAGTTCAAGTCCGAAGTGCGGGCTTTACTTGTACACTCCCAGGCAGAGTTTTGTTAAATCTTATCGAAATAATAAAGGGTTAGTTACCCTTCTCTCTTGTTGTTTCCTGTCATCGAACTCTAGCGATTATTCGCTTATCAGTTCTTAGGTTCCTCACTTCCAACATTAACTTAGAATTCCAAAGTGAGGTACCTTACAAGTATATATATCAGATCTTGTTTAATTTTGCTTTTTTGTTTCACAGCTTCATGTACTATCATTCTTATTTATTTTTACTTTACTTGTACTCAAAAGTAAGTTCATAAATATTGTATTTAGAGTTTTTACTATTTTACCAAACTAAAGATGTTTATACAAGAATTACGCGTGAAAAGAATGCGCAAAATGCAGTAAAAAGTGCTTTAAAGAGATATATTAAGTCTTATTTGAAAAAACTGTGACTTTCATAATTTCATCACTTATACAACGTATCACATTTAATAATTAAAAACAATTATGTGATACAAATGCCATAAGTTTCAGTCACCTTATAAGAAAGAGACTAACCCAAACGGGTTTTCTCCCTCGTCTGAGGCGTTGCCGGCTGTCACCTTGATCACATCCGGAGGAGTAGGGACGACTTGCAGAAATTTAACAGTGGTTGCCTATTGCAGCGTGTATAATTGTCAAGAAAAAGCTGGTTGTAACGCCTCATTTCACAAATTAGAATTTCTACATAGTTTTATTTTTGAAATTGACATTGATTTTTAAAAATTTAGCATATTTATCAAGCATAATTAATGTTCCAAATAATTATAAAGTTATTGCATGCTTTCAGGACTGGATATTTTTTTAGCTTTTCTTATGATGTAAGGAAGTTTGTAACTACTTCTTTTAGAAAATAATATTTTAAATCTGAACTAATAGAAAATTTCAAACAAGCAATCTTCTCTTGCAATTTTACGCTTTTTATTGGTGTAAATAAGAAAAAATACTAAAATATTTAAAAACGAATTTTTGAAAGTTGTTGTTTAAAATTCTAAATTGTGCTGCTTTTTTAAAATTATAGATGAGTAATATAGCACAATTTCTATAAAGGAATTTTATTTCAATTCATATTTCATAGTACATCATAGTGATAAACACTTTTGACTTCTTAAAAATTTTATACATTTAATTCTAATATTAAAATTGTATTTAACCGTAATAATTAATTTTGTTTGTATTTTATAGTAATTATTTTTTAAATTTATTTTTTTATTCTGCATAAGATTTTTTTTTATTTACTGTTAATTTAATTTATTAGCATAAAGGGGTGGTAGCCTAGAAAGGCTGTTAGTTTCGAAGCGGCATTTTGCTCTGTTTTACTAAAAATGTCCGTGTCTCCTTGCAAATTGTTGTTACCAAATATTATCGCCCTGTATTATATGTAAAGAAATTAAATAATGAAGAATCTACATGAATACAATGTATGTGTCTCGCACTGTGACAAAAACGACAGTATCTAGAGCCATCAAATTTTGAATAATGTAATCCTCACCCGAACATGGGTATCTGGATGAATCATCCGAATTTCGAATTTTTTTTAATCTATTTCATATTTTGTAAAACTTTAACGAATTTTTGATTAACAAACTCAACGAGTTCAGAGCGAGCACTGTACGGAAAATAACAGTTTTATCTCCAGTGCGGAAATTCTAAAGATATGCTGTTTTCAAATGTATGTGGTTTACGGGCGAAGAACATGATATTCAATAAATATAGGTAATACACAAAACTTTAAAAAAAGGTTCCTTTTGGGCGTAATATAAAATCTGCGTGCTTCTAGATTTTATCTTTTTTTTTCCTTCATTACGCTCAGAAAATTTTATGCTCCCAATTTTTATGAATTATTAAAATAACTAATCCATTTTAATGTTAATAATTTAATGATCATATAATCAAATAAATATGATCGTTTTGTAATGTTATTATAGTTTGGAAAATCACTGCCTGAAAATGTTCATTAAATTTTAAAAAAATTTATCAGATCTTGTTTAATTTTACCTTATTTATTTCAAAGCATGGTGTACTATCAATCTTATTTAATTTTACTTCATTTTTACTCAAAATTAAGTTCATAAATTTTGTGCTTAGAGTTTTTACCGTTTTACCAAAGTAAAGATGTTTGTACAAGAATTACGCGTGAAAAAAATGGGCGAAATGCAGTAAAAAGTGCCTTAATGAGATATATTAAATCCTATTTGGAAACTGTGGCTTTTATAATCTCATCACTATACAACGTATCACATTTAATAATGAAAAAGAGTTATGTGATACAAACGCTATAGGTTTCAGTGTTAAAGTAAACCAGATCGTCCGTACTCTTTCTTGCCGACATGTCGGTGACGCGCTCCCCGCCCACTGAATTAGTCTATCTCTTATAAGGTCCATGGTTTCAGTGTTAAAGTAAAGCAGATCGTCCCTACTCTTGCCGACATGTGGGTGACGCGCGCTCCGCCCACTGGGTTAGTCTATCTCTTATAAGGTCATGAATGAGCATTAAACAATAACAACATATTTTATTTTTACTGATATATTTTAAATCGTGATTTGTAAGTTAATATATTTCTTACGGGGGTGTTCCTTTTTTGTTAGGTGGAGGGAGAAGAAAAGACTGTAGTGTTTTAATGAAGAAAATAAATAAAACAATTTCAGTAATGTTTATTGAACCAGTTAGTATTATGTGATTGTCAATGATTGAGTAATGTTAAACTACATTGTACGTAAGGAAACTTACTTATCTTTATGTTATAGTTTTTATTTTAACATAAGCTGAAATTTAATTTTATTTTCTGAATCATTAGTCAGGCCAATATTCTGTGATAAGTAAGTCAGACCTTTGATAAGATAAGTCAGGCCTGTGATAAATAACATACAAATTTTCATACAAAATTATTTCTCTTACCATATTATAAAGAGCTCATTAAAATTTATTATTTTATACAAATTATAGATAATGTAGCATGTATCAGTTAAAGATTTATCAAAGCCTACTCATTCATTACCTGCGATAACAAACACGTCTGAGAGATATTGTCACATTAGCGAGCATGACTATCCATTGCTGCTTAATTCAATAATTTAATAATATACTGAGAAATGCTGGGGTCTTTGAGAAGTGCGCATCTTAGGAAATGTACATGGTTTACATTACAGTTGTTTATTAGTTGAAAATAAAAAATGAATTCTTAGATGTTCATATGAAAGAATTCTGTTTTAATTACAACGTTTGACATTTAAAAAAGTGAATTAATATATATGCAGTTATCTTTTTATTATGCATATATACCTTTATATCTATATCTATTTATCTATCTATATATATATATATATATATATATATTACTGTTTATTTCTAATGTACTATTATAAATGTCAGTCTAAAAATTGAGATACTATTATCAGGGTAATTAATCTCTTATACATTAAACATTTTGATACTCTCTGATCATCTGCACTCACAGCTTCAACGTTTGCTAAAATTGCAAGAATATACGCAAGATAATAACTACAATAGCAAACTATGAATATGCATACCACACACATAGCTTTGCATGCTTTATAATTAATTCTCATTTCTGAATAGTACACTGTTGAACGAAAAATATGTTAATAATCGACCATATGCATGTTTTTTGTCTCCTAAAATTTCTTGTTTCTTATAAAATGCTAATTTGAATTACTATTTGTAAACAGAGCAGTAGATTTGAACAATAAACTAACCAAGGAAATATTTTGTCAATTTTCATAGCTCTGTAGATAGTCAGAAAGTATCAAATGTTTTAATAATTTTAAATGATCTTTCATACTTTTGTATAAATTGTTCTATTCTATTAATTCACAATTTTATTATTGTGTTATCAAACATTCTGCAGGAATTTCAACTGGATAGGATGTTATTTCCATGCAGAAAAGAATTTGATATTCAAGCTTGAAAAGATTTATCTGAAGGATTTCTTTGAAGGTCAGTTTCTTGTTTCTAATAAGTCAAACTGGTTTTAGTTAATTCTACAATAATTTAATTTTCGATGAAGTCTAAAATTTATTTATTATAAGTGAAATGTGTTCTAAATTAACTTCTGCTTGTTTTTGAAATTTTTCATGATGTTCATTCTTTGACTTTTTTAAAAAAATTTACTAACTCATGTTCATGCACATAATTTTGACCCTTAAACATTGTAAAATTTAAAAAAAAAACGCATTTCACATAAAAATGTGGTTGTAGCAGTAAATTTTCTGTTACACTTAATCGTATCTATAAACACTAATATTTTTGTTTATTACGTGCTCCGCCCTTAGGCACTACACGGTAAGGAAGGGATGCCCCGTGGAGGTCTTTTTAAGGGAAACTGGCTCGTATCCACGTTACACATGGGGAAAAGCACGAAAACGCCCATGCAGGCAGCAACCTCACTTTTCAATAATCTATTATTTTGTGTATTTCATTTAAAACTAACATCTGGTATTTGACTTGATTTTCAAGCTGTTACATGGTGTAATAACGTAATATAATGATTAAAACTTACTATGAAAAATGTCAGATTAAATAATGTATTCTTTGAGAGAAATTTATTCATAATGTGTTTAGTAAGTGTGTCTCATCTCTTAAAATTGCTTAAGTAAATTTTCTATGCTTGCATTTAGAAATTTTGACTGTAGCAGTGTAAATTTTGTTTCAGTTATTATAACATCCAAGGAAAAAATTCATACATAGCTATGTATTTAAAACTTAGTTAATTAAATTCCCTAAGATAGACGGACGTTTTAGTGTTCTCGAAATCGATAGACTTTAAGCCCCATTAAGGTTACTTTTGAACTTAATTTAAAATCTTCATTGACATCTCCAATAATCGTTATTTGGAATACCGTTTTAACTCAGATATTGCATAGAAAATTAAAAATAGTGGACAACAATGCAAGTACTATTTATTATCTATCTGCAAAATATGGCAAGTCATGTAAGACAGAGATTTGTATGGTCAAATCCGTGTTTCAATTAACGGAAATGCATGCGCAATCTTCTCATTTTCACTTCAATTTTGAATTCTGTATATACAACACAAGAAATCTTTATTAGTTCATGCAGTGTTATGCATCACTATTCGTAGACAATTGTTGTTGTTATGTTTATTATAATCCTGTTTACAATAATGGTTGGAGTGCCAAAATCATCCTACTTTGTAAACAAAACTCAAATCTTCATCTTTGCACACTAATCCACCTAGTGTTTAAAGCACTGAAATGTTGCTCATAGTAGAACATCTTCATCTACTCCTATTGTAGAGTCATTAGGTTAACTGGGAAAGCCGGAAAGATGAAAAATTAGTAACCGCCTTCGCCGGGAATCGAAACACGGACCTCTTGAATACAGGCTCAGTGTGCTGACCACTACACCACGAAGGCACGCTAGGAAGGCGGGAGAAATACCTTATATACTTCCCCTTTTAAAGGGCGACTGGGGTTTTTAGGGGACCCAATCTCCAAATCCTGGGTGAAGAGAATCATCATCCACCACCTTTTTTGGTTCGGGCGCCACTGTAGAGACATTAGGATATTTTTGAAAGCAAGAGAGATGAAAAAATGACAATTTTTTGCTTAAGTTTAATTATGAATTATGTTTACACATAGTAATTGTGAGTATTTTTTATTTTAGGTGTTGTGAAAGGCAATGGCAACGATGCAGTTTGTCATTCAAGTTCTTATACATGATATGTTTTACATGGTGAAAAATGAATAATTTTACACGAAATTAACGAAAATGTGATAAAATGAATTAATAAAAATTATTTTAAATTTTTAAAAAGTGTGTTTTGTCTGCATTTAATCATAAGACAGTGCCATAAATTTCTGAATATGTTTAATTTTCATGCAAATAAATAGCTTTAAAAAATTTGTCATGTCAATAGTTGATGGAGGATTTAGCATTATTATAAATATTTGTTATAACAGATTTAGTTGAACTACTTTTTCAAAGTCTCTTTGCAGATGAAATCACAAAGGTAAAATACTTTCTGTATTGCATATTAAGTAATTTTGTCTGGTAAATTAACAATACTCATATACTAAAGGTGAAAGGCTACTTAAATCTGCCTTAAAAATACAAATTTTCAGACATTTAAAAAAATTGGTATACATGGAAATTTCTCAAATTGCCACATATACGAAACTGGAAAATGTTATATATGAAATATTTCTTAAATGAAATGTAAATATTTTCACGATTTGTTGACTATAATTCACTGCATTTATGTTATAGTTACAGATTAAGGTAGTAGTGCTTTTCTCACTGTGATATAAATCCACGTATTTTGATTTCTTTCTCTCTCTAGTGAAAAATTAACTAAACATTCTTGTAGGCATTGCGAGTTGAATACAGCTCATCTCAAAATAAAATGAATTAATAAATTTATTGGAAATTTTACACAGCATATATTAAGCAGAAAGAATAAACTGAATATACTTACAAGTATTAATAATTGGTAGAGTTGATTTCAGAATAAAATGCCTTAATGGCATCATGGTAAACATACAGTAGATCTTCTTTTAATTGCGTTTCTTGAGTCTTTCGGTTTTGCATAAAATGCAAATTTAAATTTTTGACATTGATATTGATGATTGTCATATAAATGACAATTATTGTTTTATTTTGCTTTGAAACGAATGGTACTGGATGAGATAACCTTTAACATGTGCAAGATTTTACAAAGATTTTACAACGGTGCGCTTATCCCGCGAGCAACATCCTCAGGATATCCCAAGGATGTTTTTCTGTTATGTGGGTTCTACGTGAATTATTTATCAGTGGGCTTATTTCCATTCATCATATTTCTATGTGAGCTTTTTTATGTGTGAGCATATTTCCCAGTTTTTTTCCATGTGAGCTTTTTTAAAATCTTGCACATTTATGACATTGAAACTTAATTAATTTGATGCTAATAATTAGGTTAATTTGATGCTGATTTCAACTGGAAAATTTTATTTTATTGGATTTAACATAAACTAATACCAATGAACCATATTAAACTTTGATCCCTTTTGAGTAACTGGTAAAATCTGAGCCCTTTCAATTTTTTCTTAATATGTGAAGAGAAAGAATTTTAGAAGAATTTCTTGAGTTACCTTTCTAATGATGCTGAGAATTGTTACTGTCAAGAACATAATTTTTACAACTGAATATTAAATATATCAAAAGGCCTGCAGCATTTTCATGTTACAAAAGTACTCATTCATATTTATTTATTCTGTGCTAGGAATTGATTTAATTTAAAAAATAAAATTTCCTTTTAACAATTTCCCAACAATCTCACCAAAAAACTAAAACGTGCTTACATCCATTAAAGAAAGATGATTTATTTAATTTGTAAAGCTTATTAAATGGTTAACTTTATTATTGAATTTTGAATTGAAGAATTCAGTTTTGGGCTACTGGATGTGTAAAAATGATGGAAAGATCTTTAATATCTTAAAAATAAAAGCAAAATATTCTCTTATAAAATTTTGTATTAATAATTCATTTTAAGTCCCTTGCTCATTTTAGATATATGTACAAATTATTAAATAAAATGACATTCAAATTAAAGAAAATAAGTTGCATAAATATTCTCAACATTTCTTATTTTTCCATAGTAACCATAGGAGGAGGACCTGACACTAGGTCATTACGCCTTCACACAATTTCACTGGAATGTTAAGAAGATTCCTGGGGATGTGACATTAAGCAGTCGGGAGTATGTATTTAGGAGGTTAAAGGGATATTCCGGGATATAGTAACTAATATTTCAAATCCTGATAACATACCATATGCTGTCGGTGGGATCTAGTTAGGACGTCCTAAGGATATACTGGGATGTGGCATTAAGCACTCGGGAGGATGAGTTTAGGAGAAAACTGGGATATTACGGGATGTCCTGAGAATGTATTAAGTAGAACTTTAAATCACAATAACATCGCGTACGCTGTCTATGGGACTAGATAGGATGTTCTGAGGATATAATAACTTGTGTCTAGGAGGTTAGTGGGACATCCAGGGATATGCTTAGGATGTAGTAAGTAGAAGTTCAGATTCACGATAACATCCCGTACGCTGTCTATGGAACTTAGGATGTTCTGAGGATATACTAGGATGTGACATTAGGCATTCAAGAGGTTCGGAGGATTTTCCGGGATGTCTTGAGGATGTGCGCTTATCCCGCGAGCAACATCCTCAGGATATCCCAAGGATGTTTTTCTGTTATGTGGGTTCTACGTGAATTATTTATCAGTGGGCTTATTTCCATTGAGCATATTTCTATGTGAGCTTTTTTATGTGTGAGCATATTTCCCAGTTTTTTCCATGTGAGCTTTTTTCTATGGGGCATATTACTGTGTGGGCCTTTTCCTGTGAGCATTTATACTTGTAAGCATTACTCCTGCAGGCTTTTTTCTAGAACCCAGCTCTCCACATATTATCAGGAATATATTTTACATCCAATTTTTAAATATGAAATACTTTATCTCTACCCACAGTGCCATCCATCAGTAGAACTGTATCAAGACAAAATAAGCAATCACACGTCAAAATCCACTGTTAATTTCCTGTAAAAAATGAAACAGGAAACGTATATCGAGGCCATTAACATTCACTCTTATCCCCACTAAATCTCCTAATGTATCGTCGACCTAATTTTGCGCTTTTGGACTTTTGGAAAATAAATTGTACAAAAGTCTACCTACAACTTTCTTTAGTCAAACTTTTCAAGAGTCAACCTTTTAAGTTAAGCTTTACAAGAGGAATGGGAAACAAAACTCTTCCGATACTAAAAAAGGCTTTATTGTCTTTGAAATTACGGTATAGAAACATAGTAAAGATTAAGGGTTATCAAATGCAAAATATAAAATACAAAATGTTTAGGTAAAAAATTTCTGTAAATACGAAGGTAATTGTCTAAAAAATAGGCGAACATCCTCTGTATTTTCTGTAGTTTAATTCTGAATTGCTATTTGAATCACCCTTTGCCAGTAGAACATTTTCAAATTATTAATAACACTTTCTTAAAGATTCTTATGGTTGCACTACACTAATACACCAGTGCAACTTTCACATTTTGCAAGAAATCTGTCATTTGCAGATAGACGGTACAGTAATCCATAAAATGAAAAATGTTGCGGTTCGTCTCCTCATAGTTTTGCCTATTTACTTGAGCCATTATGTAAAAATGTCTGTAATCATCTGTGCGTTCTTGTTTTTTTTTTTTTTTTTTTTTTTTTTTTTTTTTTTTTTTTTTTTTTTAGATATTTTAATGGCAGAGTCTTAACATGTTTGAAGCACCTTAGGTTTTGAGGCTTTCCTATAACTAAAGGAGTTATTTTTTCCATACTATCAGCATTTGCACGAATTAAAACACTGTGACATTCTTAGCTTCATAACACTGGCCGCTTCTGAAAGCTTGGATTTTTGTGGGCATAATTTTAAAGAAAACATCACTTTCATCAACAATGCAAATGCGCTTAAATTCTTGAACCATTCTTTAACCGACTCAGCAAGAATGTTTTTTGATTCTCTATTATTATATGATATGAGATTCCATACCGCAGTTGAAATTTATGCCCAGCCAACCAGTTGAAATGCAAGCTTCCTTCGCATTCAATCGAAGTGCTATTTCTATTGACTTCTCGATTAACATAGGGATATTCACTAGGTATTGGATGCATGACACTGAATGAAAAATTTTATCAAAAATGGCTCGGACTCAAGAATCTTTCCATCTTGAACACATAATTATGTTGAAGCGGACTGCGCACAAATTTCAGCTCTTTGTTCAATTTTATTTTTGTGTCATAAACAACCGTTTATAATGTTGTCACAGGAATATCCAATTTCTTTGCTAATTCATCTTTCGTCAAACCAGTATTTTTATTAAATTCTTTTAAGATTGGAGTTTTATGTTTTAACGAGAATGCCTTTCAATTTCGTAATATTTTATATCAATTAATTCTGCTTCATATAGTTTACTTAACACAGCGTTCTGTTCAGAAGAGAAAAAACATATCTATTTTTCTTTCAAATTATCCCCCTCCATTCATGAACTTGTTTTCAACTCCTATACCAAATTGTTCAGTCTCATGTATTTGTTTCCTTCTCCTATTCTCATTTCTGGAAAAAATACTTAAATGGTGAGACTGCGAAATGTAAAAACAATGAATCAAGTCAAGTAAAAATAACGTATAAAAAATAGGACTGAATCGTGACCAAGATGAAGCAAAGTGTAAATGTAAAAGATGACTAAATGAGAAACGTATGAACGATGCTGCACTGTAAACAGTTTAGAATATTCATTGAAACTGCATTAAATTCAGGTTCTTTGAATAAGTTTTTTTATTAGAAATGTGAGGCTATTTCAACAGTTCCAAGATAAAGAAATTTCTTTAATAAATGCTGTATCCTTCAACGTAAAGTAATTATATGATGCAGTAGATATTCATAAAAAGTTTTAATATTTCGCAAACTTTCCCAAGTTCAACATACAATAGTTTACCAATAGTTAATGAAATATTGTAATCTATACTATTAAAATCGGTGCGCGTCTGTTTTTCTGTTTGTTTGTGGCATCATCTTCTCCAGAACGGCGGGGAGCTGAGGTTGGAGTGAGGTATTCCCCGAATTCCAAAACTTTGCCCATTTCGATCATTCTCATCTTCGTACGACTTTAATCAGACGAGATACTAATTAAGCACCCTGAAAACGCAAATTTTCGCACACAGTTTTCCGAGTGGCAACAGTCTCGCACGCTGGAGGTAAAAATGTACTTTATTTTGAAAAGTGTT